CTAGCTATCCCCCATCTCTGGCGAGCTATGCCCCCCAATCTCTGGCGAGCTATTCCCCCCAATCTCTGGCGAGCTATTCCCCCAATCTCTGGCGAGCTATTCCCCCCAAACTCTGGCGAGCTATTCCCCCCAATCTCTGGCGAGCTATTCCCTCCAATCTCTGGCAAGCTATCCCCCCAATCTCTAGCAAGCTATCCCCCCAATCTCTAGCTAGCTATCTCCGCAATCATTGGCTAGCTGACCCCACCCAATCTCAGGCTAGCTATCCCCCCAATCACTGGCTAGCTAACCCCCAATCTCTGGCTAGCTAACCCCCAATCTCTGGCTAGCTATCTCCGCAATCATTGGCTAGCTGACCCCCCCCCCCAATCTCAGGCCAGCTATCCTCCAATCACTGGCTAGCTATACCCCAATTTCTGGCAGCTATCCCCCCAATGTCTGGCTAGCTATTCCCTGATCTCTGCTAGCTTTCACCCCAATCTCTGGCAAGCCATCCCCCAATCACTGGCTAGCTATCCCCCAATCACTGGCTAGCTATAGCCAATCTCTGTCCAGCTATTCCCCAATCTCTGGCTAGCTAGCCCCCAACACCAATCAATCTATGGCTAACTATCCCTCCAATCTCTGGCTAGTTATCCCACCAATCTCTGGCTAGATATCCCCCCTATCTATGGCTAGTTACTCTCCAATCTCAGGCTAACTATACCCCCAATCTCTGGCTCGTTATCCCACCAATCTCTGTCCAGCTAATCCCACCAATCTCTGGCTAGCTAGCCCCCAACACCAATCAATCTATGGCTAACTATCCCCCAATGTCTGGCAAGCTATCCCCCCAATCGCTGGCTAGCTATTCACCCATCTCTGGCTGGCTATCCCCCCCCATCTCTGGCTAGCTATCCCCCCAATCTCTGGCTAGCTATTCCCCCCAATCTCTGGCTAGCTATTCCCCCCAATCTCTGGCTAGCTATCCCCCCAATCTCTGGCGAGCTATACCCCCAATCGCTGGCTAGCTATTCACCCCATCTCTGGCTGGCTATCCCCCCCATCTCTGGCTAGCTATCCCCCCAATCTCTGGCTAGCTATTCCCCCCAATCTCTGGCGAGCTATCCCCCCAATCTCTGGCGAGCTATTCCCCCATTCTCTGGCGAGCTATCCCCCCAATCTCAGGCTAGCTATCCCCCCAATCTCTGGCGAGCTCACCCCCAATCTCTGGCGAGCTCACCCCCAATCTCTGGCGAGCTCACCCCCAATCTCTGGCCAGCTAACCCCCAATCTCTGGCCAGCTATCCCCCAATCTCTGGCCAGCTAACCCCCAATCTCTGGCTAGCTAACCCCCAATCTCTGGCTAGCTATCTCCGCAATCATTGGCTAGCTGACCCCACCCCAATCTCAGGCTAGCTATCCCCCCAATCTCTGGCTAGCTATCTCCGCAATCATTGGCTAGCTGACCCCACCCCAATCTCTGGCTAGCTAACCCCCAATCTCTGGCTAGCTATCTCCGCAATCATTGGCTAGCTGACCCCACCCCAATCTCAGGCTAGCTATCCCTCCAATCACTGGCTAGCTATACCCAATTTCTGGGCAGCTATCCCCCCAATGTCTTGCTAGCTATTTCCCCTGATCTCTGGCTAGCTTTCACCCCAATCTCTGGCAAGCTATCCACCCAATCTCTGGCTAGCTATAGCCAATCTCTGGCTAGCTATAGCCAATCTCTGTCCAGCTATTCCCCCCAATCTCTGGCTAGCTAGCCCCCAACACTAATCAATCTATGGCTAACTATCCTTCCAATCTCTGGCTAGTTATCCCACCAATCTCTGGCTAGATATCCCCGCTATCTATGGCTAGTTACCCCCCAAACTCTGGCTAGCTATAGCCAATCTCTGTCCAGCTAATCCCACCAATCTCTGGCTAGCTAGCCCCCAACACCAATCAATCTATGGCTAACTATCCCCCCAATCTCTGGCTAGCTAACCCCCAACACCAATCAATCTATGGCTAACTATCCCCCCAATCTATGGCTACCTATCCCCCCAATCTCTGGCAAGCTACTCCCCCAATCTCTGGCGAGCTATTCCCCCCAATCTCTGGCTAGCTATTCCCCCATCTCTGGCGAGCTATGCCCCCCAATCTCTGGCTAGCTATTCCCCCAATCTCTGGCGAGCTATTCCCCCCAAACTCTGGCGAGCTATTCCCCCCAATCTCTGGCGAGCTATTCCCCCCAATCTCTGGCAAGCTATTCCCTCCAATCTCTGGCAAGCTATCCCCCCAATCTCTAGCAAGCTATTCCCCCCAATCTCTGGCAAGCTATTCCCCCCAATCTCTGGCTAGCTATCTCCGCAATCATTGGCTAGCTATACCCCAATTTCTGGGCAGCTATCCCCCCAATGTCTGGCTAGCTATCCCCCCAATCACTGGCTAGCTATCCCCCCAATCACTGGCTAGCTATAGCCAATCTCTGTCCAGCTATTCCCCCCAATCTCTGGCTAGCTAGCCCCCAACACCATATGGCTAACTATCCCTCCAATCTCTGGCTAGTTATCCCACCAATCTCTGGCTAGATATCCCCCCTATCTATGGCTAGTTACTCTCCAATCTCAGGCTAACTATACCCCCAATCTCTGGCTCGTTATCCCACCAATCTCTGGCTAGATATCCCCCCTATCTATGACTAGTTACCACCCAAACTCTGGCTAGCTATAGCCAATCTCTGTCCAGCTAATCCCACCAATCTCTGGCTAGCTAACCCCCAACACCAATCAATCTATGGCTAACTATCCCCCCAATGTCTGGCAAGCTATCCCCCCAATCGCTGGCTAGCTATTCACCCCATCTCTGGCTGGCTATCCCCCCCCATCTCTGGCTAGCTATCCCCCAATCTCTGGCTAGCTATTCCCCCCAATCTCTGGCGAGCTATCCCCCCAATCTCTGGCGAGCTATTCCCCCAATCTCTGGCAAGCTATCCCCCCAATCTCTGGCGAGCTATTCCCCCCAATCTCTGGCAAGCTACCCCCCAATCTCTGGCGAGCTATTCCCCCAATCTCTGGCAAGCTACCCCCCCAATCTCTGGCGAGCTATTCCCCCCAATCTCTGGCGAGCTATTCCCCCCAATCTCTGGCGAGCTATTCCCCCCAATCTCTGACGAGCTATTCCCCCCAATCTCTGGCGAGCTATTCCCCCAATCTCTGACGAGCTATTCCCCCAATCTCTGGCGAGCTATTCCCCCCAATCTCTGGCGAGCTATTCCCCCCAATCTCTGGCGAGCTATTCCCCCCAATCTCTGGCGAGCTATTCCCCCCAATCTCTGGCGAGCTATTCCCCCCAATCTCTGGCTAGCTAGCCCCAACACCAATCAATCTATGGCTAACTATCCCACCATCTCTGGCTAGATATCCCCCCTATGTATGACTAGTTACCCTCCAATCTCTGGCGAGCAATCCACCCAATATCTGGCTAGCTGTCCCCCCAATCTCTCTGGCTAACTTTCTCACCAATCTTTGGCTACTTATCCCGTCAAACTCTGACCAGCTATACTCCCAATCTCTGGCGAGCTATCTCCGCAATCATTGGCCAGCTGACCCCACCCCTCCCAATCTCAGGCTAGCTATCCCCCCAATCACTTGCTAGCGATACCCCAATGTCTGGGCAGCTATCCCCCCAATCTCTGGCTAGCTATAGCCAATCTCTGTCCAGCTATTTCCCCTAATCTCTGGCTAGCTATCCCCCAACACCAATCAATCTATGGCTAGTTATCCTTCAATCTCTGGCTAGTTATCCCACTAATCGCTGGTTAGCTATCCCCCCAATCCCAGGCGGGCTATCCCCCCAATCCGTGGCTAGTTATCCCCCCAATCCCTGGCTAGTTATCCCCCCAATCCCTGGCTAGTTATCCCCCCAATCCCTGGCTAGTTATCCCCCCAATCCCTGGCTAGGTATCCCCCCAATCCCTGGCTAGTTATCCCCCCATCCCTGGCTGGTTATCCCCCCATCCCTGGCTAGTTATCCCCCCAATCCCTGGCTAGTTATCCCCCCAATCCCTGGCTAGTTATCCCCCCAATCCCTGGCTAGTTATTCCCCAATCCCTGGCTAGTTATCCCCCAATCCCTGGCTAGTTATCCCCCCAATCCCTGGCTGGTTATCCCCCAATCCCTGGCTGGTTATCCCCCAATCCCTGGCTCGTTGTCCCCCCAATCCCTGGCTAGTTATCCCCCAATCCCTGGCTAGTTATCCCCCCAATCCCTGGCTATTTATCCCCCAATCCCTGGCTAGTTATCCCCCCAATCCCTGGCTGGTTATCCCCAATCCCTGGCTAGTTATCCCCCAATCCCTGGCTATTTATCCCCCAATCCCTGGCTAGTTATCCCCCCAATCCCTGGCTAGTTATCCCCCCAATCCCTGGCTGGTTATCCCCCAATCCCTGGCTGGTTATCCCCCAATCCCTGGCTGGTTATCCCCCAATCCCTGGCTCGTTTCCCCCCAATCCCTGGCTAGTTATCCCCCAATCCCTGGCTAGTTATCCCCCAATCCCTGGCTAGTTATCCCCAATCCCTGGCTAGTTATCCCCCAATCCCTGGCTAGTTATCCCCCAATCCCTGGCTAGTTATCCCCCCCAATCCCTGGCTAGTTATCCCCCAATCCCTGGCTAGTTATCCCCCAATCCCTGGCTAGTTATCCCCCAATCCCTGGCTAGTTATCCCCCAATCCCTGGCTGGTTACCCCCCAATCCTTGTCTGGTTATCAGTTAACTGTCTCCCACTGGACACCAAGTTTCCTGCGGGAGGAGCTCCGCTGTGTGAGTTTCTAACCCGGAAGCCGCCTCTCAGTCCCTGGAGATCGATCCCCTCACTCTGTGCAGCAGCTTCTGGTGTTGAGGGGGAGAGGAGGAGGAGGAGAGGGGACCGTTTGTGGACAGATTTACAGTCGGTCCCTCGAGCGGGAGGACCGCAGTGGCTTGAAAGCTGCTGCGTTTTGCCGGAGAGCGAGAGAGGAGAGGAGAGAGAGAGAGAGACAGTCACTACACTCCCTCAGTGGGTAAGAGAAGCTCTGTGTTTAATGGGATCGGGAAGGAGCGGAGACCCCAGAGAGGGGGAGAGCTGAGCTGAGCTCTGGGTGTGGAGGGGATGTGTTTGGGACAGTTGCTCAGACTCACACTGTTGTGTTCAGTGACTGGGAATAGGGACCGTCTGAGGTTCCACATTGGGGGCAAAACTTTTGTCTTTTCCCCCAAAACCAAAAAGTATTCCAAAGTTGTTGAAGTTCGGGCCTCTCACCATCAACTTGTTTTGTTTAAAACTTGTTCTTTCTCTGATACCCCACCCCCCCACCCTCTCTGCCATACCCCCCCCCACCCTCTCTGCCATACCCCCCCACCCCCCCACCCTCTCTGCCATACCCCCCCCCACCCTCTCTGCCATACCCCCCCACCCCCCCCACCCTCTCTGCCATACCCCCCCCCCCCCCCCACCCTCTCTGTCTGCCCCCCCCCACCCCCCCCACCCTCTCTGCCATACCCCCCCACCCCCCCCCCACCCTCTCTGTCTGCCCCCCCACCCACCACCCTCTCTGTCTGCCCCCCCACCCCCCCCACCCCCAACCCTCAATATTAATGCTAACGTCTGTGAATGTGTAACGTGGCTTTTTCAGACAGTTGTGCTTTTTGTAAAGCGAATCAAAGTGACTGTGGGGAATGCTTTAATCTGTAGCTGTAGTCAGATCTTATCTGTGGAGTGTTAGTCTGGGTTACACAACTCACAAGAGGGAGGCTTCGGCCAGTCTGGGGGGGAGGGGGTACAGGGATGACATGTTTTGCACAGGATCACAGTCACACTGTCTTTGCCGAAACCATCAGTCTGTCCACAATAAGGTGACGTGTGTGACAGTCCGGCTCGGTCGGTAGCGCACTCGCCTCTTGAGTCAGAAGGCTTTGGGTTCAAACCCCACGTTCAAGCCCCACTTCAGGACTTGGATTCACGTAGTCTAAGATAACACTCCAGCACAGTGCTGGGGGGAGTGGGCATGTCGCATTGTCGGAGGTGCCGTCCTTCGGATGAGACGTTAAACCTCTTTAGGTGAACGTTAAAGATCCCATGGCACATTTGGCATTAAAGGGTTAGTGTCACTGTCACTGTCAGAAGGGATGGGGGTGTTTTATCCACTCTCAGTACATAGACAGTGGTTCGGTCTGGCTCGCCAGTGAGCTACAAGTAGACATTGAGCTTTTCATACTTTTGCCTGGTATTTGCATCCCTCCTCTCCTGCAGGCAGTGACTCGTGCTGTAATTACTGAGCATCCTCTGGCAGCTCACCAGAGTGGCTCGTGTGTGTGTGTGTGGGGGGGGGGGAAGTCAAAGCCAAGCTCAATCCCATACCATCTGACATCACAACCTTCCAAAGGGGACAAATCTCTCTGAATAGTGGTCGGGGACAAGTGATTCGAGCGGATTATATCCCCTGCACAGCCCGGGTACACCGAGGCCAATTGTCAGCCACCTCAGCACTGAGCGGGTGTGAAATCTCAGACCGTATGTCAGTGTGTGTGTGTTTGTGTCGCGTGTGTAGTGTGTGTGTTATGTGTGTGTAGAGTGTGTGTTTCGTCACCTTGGGACATCCTCCCGATGTGAAAAGCGCTATACAAATGCAATTTGTTGCTGTTGTTTGTTGTTGTGTAATGTGTCTGTACCATGTGTGTGTGTGGTGAGTGTGTGTAAAGTGGATGTGTGTATTTGGTGTCAATGTTGGGTGTGTCGTGGGGGTGTGTAGTTTGTGTGTGTGCGCAATGTGCAATGTGTGGGGGAGGAGGGCAATCGATGTAATTTCATAACAAAACAAGGGTTACTCAGCAGCTTAGCGGTTCACGTAAGAATGTCTCGGAGCTCCTCACAGAGACTCAGTTGGATGCTGAGCAAGGGAGGAGGGGGAGACGACCCTAGGTATGAGTGAAGTGATGGGGTTTTAGGCCGGATGTGACGACAGACGAGAGCGGATGAGATGGAGGGGAACAGAGAGAGAGAGAGAGAGAGTTCCAGAGGTTAGGGGTTTAGTTGCTGAAGGTTTTTTTGAGGAGGGGGTTGCAGCAATCGTGAGTTAGACAAGCACTTTGGGATGTCCTCCTGACATGAAAAGAGCTGTAACAAATGCAAGGATTATTATTATTATTAATTCTGCAAGGGCAAAACAAAAAGCGAGCAGAGAAGTGTGGCAGCACAAGATCTGGGAAATAGGGAGGTGCTCGAGCATAAAGGGACATGTAGAGGAGGGTGAGGAGCTTCAAGTCAATCTATTGGGATACAAGAAGCCATTGGAGGCTGACAAGGTTGGGTGTATGAATGATTACAATCAGTGACACTGGGATCTTTGTATCCATGATCTATGAACTTACCAACATCCATTGTCTGGAAGACCCGTAGTGTAGTGGTTAACCCGCTCGCTTCACAAGCAAGAGGGCCCAGGTTTGATTCCCGGGCGGAGCAAAACCTTAGGCAAGTTTCCTTTCTCCACACGCTTCTGCTTCCAGCGCCGTGGGACATCCTCCCAACGTGAAAGGCGCTATACAAATGCAATTTGTTATTGTTGTCTCGTCTGGATCAGAAATTCGAGGGTTCAAGATCAGTCTAGAGCGACACTCCAGTGCATGAGTAGGGCAGGTTGTTTAACGTCAGGCCAGGTCATGCTTTAAAGATCCCGCGACATGATTTAAAAGAGAAGATGGCTTCTTCTGGTGTCCTAGTCCCAGAAGAATCCCCCAGATTTGATTCACCTCACTCACTTCATGGCTGTTTGGGGGACATTGCTCTGTGCAAATTAGCTCTGCGTTTGCCAAAACGAATTCACACAGCAATTGCTTGTGAAGAGCCATACAATACAAATGACATTTCTATAGCGTCTTTCACGTCGGGAGAGCGTCCCAAGCTGCTCGACAATCAGGGATTTGGACCCGAGCTGGGGATCGGGATCTGAGAGGAGGGAGGGTGAGAGGGTGGCCGGAGGCTCAGTCGAAGAAGAGGGTTTTGAGACAGGCAGAGGGTCATGACATGGATGTGGGGTAGAAAGGACAGTTAATAATAATAATCCTTGCATTTGATATAGCGCTTTTCACATCGGGAGGACGTCCCAAAGCGCTTCACAGAACACACTATAAAGTGAATTGACTGTATATTTGTGGGCGAACGCGGCAGCCAATTGCGCACAGCAATGTCCCACACACAGTCGTAGATTGAAAATGACCAATTTATTATTGTTTTTGGTTTTGGAGGGATTATTATTAGGCTCTGTGTGGAGTAAGGAAACTTGCCCAAGGTTTCGCCCTCTGCCTGGAATTGAACTCAGGTCTCTCACTTGCAAAGCGAGTGCTCTAACAACTGAGCTACAGGACTCCACGTTGAGGGTCAAACAAGTAGCCAAGGTTCCGAACTGGCTCAGTGAGGTGGAGAGTGCATCCATGGATGGTGATGCGGTCAGCACCTGAGTTGTGGAGGCGCTGATGGGAGCCAATCAGGAGGGCCTCGGTCTTGTTGACGTTCAACTCTCTGTAGAAAGTTAGCTCTCATCCAGGACTCAATGTCTAACAGTGGTCCTGGAGTCGACGGTGGAGGTATAGAGGTAGAGTGAGGTAGAGTTGGGTGTCATCCACATACATTTGGAAGTTGACCCCATGTCTGCGGATGATGTCACCCAGAGGAGGCATACAGATATTGAAGAGGAGGGGACCAAGTACAGAGCCATGAAGGTTGAGGTGAGAGGAGAGGCGGTGGAGGAGGATAGAGCAGTCACCCTGTATCGCTATGACACAGGATGGTGTTACAGGTACTGTATTAAAAAAATAATAAAAATTTGGTCACTCAATCCATGACTGTTTGTAGGACACTGCTGTGCGCAAGTGCCCACAAAATACACAGCAATTCACTTTACAGTATATTCTGTGAAGCATTTTGAGACGTCTAGAAGATGTGATAAGGCGCTATATCAAATGCAAGGATTATTATTATTAATATTACATAGTGAGTGGATTCTGCCGGCAGATTAGCAGAGTTTACATCAGTGGTGTTGGCTGTGTGCGTAGCATGGATTGAGAGCAGCCCATTCAGTGCAGTTACACCGAAGGGTTAAATCCACCCAGTTTACATGTCCTCACAAGGGCTGAGAAATGAGAAGTGTTCCACAAAGCCCTGACCGGACGAAGGGTTCCTTCCCGGCTGCGTAAGATATTTCAGTATCGTTCCTTGGTCTCAAGCCTGGCCTCGGCACACAAGGATCAAAGTTGCAAAGAAGCGAGCGACTTGCTTTCGTCCTTTGAAGTATTAATGTCGGCCCTGTGGGCATGAGGCGTGTCTTGTCTCAGCTTACATCCTGGACAATGATGAATGAGGCCCAGGCAGGAGTGATAAGCTTTGTTTGAAGACCAGTAAACTCAGCACTGTACAGTATTCTCCATTCCTGTAAACCTAACCAGAGACTCGACCAACATGGAGCTCTTCCTCCCTCCCTCCGTCCATCCCTCCCTCTCTCCCTCCTCTCTCATCAAAATTGGTCTTCAGTGCCCTGGATTCAGATAACGAGCAAAATTCTCTGAGCTTATCTTTTGCAAGACTCAGTAGAAGGCAGAGTTACAGACAAGGTCAACCCTGGTCTCGGTTTTGGGACTGTTCATAAAAATAATTTGAGTGGGCTGTGAGGAATGTAAAGCAAACACAGAAAGTCTCCTCCTTAAAGTATTTGCTTTGCCCTTGCACAAGGTTGTTAACGAATAATAATAAGCGTCATTCTGGCTCAGTTGTGCCTCTGGATCGGAGGCTGTGGGTTCAAGCCCCTGCGTTATCCAAGGCACCATCCTCACATTGGACACTGAACACCGCACCCATCTGTCTGTTCTTCAGGTGGATATTAAAATCCCACAGCCATCTGAAAGAAGAGTAAAATGTACCCCCAATTCTGGTCAATATTTCTCCCTCATCAAACACAGATTGGGACTTGGCTTCAGTTCAGGGGACTGGGAAACTGAGGAAGAAGGCAGAAAGTTACAGAAGAACCTAAAC